ACCCAACCCTGACCTAAACTACTGGATATTATATACCAACCACTCAACCAACCCTGATTTAAACTACTTGATGTTACATACCAACCACACAACCAACACTGATCTAAACTACTGGATAATACATTCTAACCGCTCAATCCTGACGTAAACTACAATAAAAAACAGCATGATTCGCTATAATATGTATTGGATATTTGAATAGTTGAGTATTATAATATACGAGCCGACCCGCGGCGTATCATACGCCGCTATTTAGTTGTTTTATTTTCTACTTTTCAGTAATTCACAATTTGTGAATTCGGCAGTACCAATGCTGCCACTTAATATATTTGCTTTAAAACACTATCAGTAGCTCGTTAAGGACGATACCCCCCCCCCCACCTCATTTCCCCAACCCCTACCCCACCCCCGTGAAAACAGCCTCCTCTTAGTTACCTCCCCTCGTTTCAAACTAAATTATCTGCCCCTATTAACCGTCACTAAACCCGGCTCTACGACTGTAAATATTTAGCGTGAACCACAGCTCACCAGACCATGTAGGGGTTGGGTGGTAGGGATCGCGCTTTCAGCTTGTTTTTTAGCGTCTCCCGGAAGAGAATTATATATATATATAGATATATATATATATATATATATATATATATATATATATATATATATATATATATATATATATATATATATACATTGAAGAAAATCATTGTGTGCATGACGTTGTTCAATAATTTCTCTTTATAGGAAAAGTGGACAACGCATGTGGATGTGAAAGTGACCTGCTCCTGTGTGTTAAAGTATGTTCTAGCCATCTTTAACTATGTTAATGGATGTTACACACAATTCACTAATCCTACTTTTGTCTCAACTTTTTTTGCTGGCCGTACAAATAAAATAAATGAAACTGATAAAGTAACGAAATAATATATACATTTTAATATTTATAATGAGATTCCAAGGCTGCTAACATCAGTTTAGTGTCTTTGTAAAGATATTTCTTTTCAGACACAGCTAGACACCCAGTCAAAATTTTACAACTGTAAACTACATCATCTATAGTAGTGTATTACATGATGTAACTTTGACTGAAATTGTCATTATAGCTTTTTTAAACCTTTAAATGTAATTGTCAAGTTAAAGATTTTTTAGCTGCATATTAGTACAAGTTAGGTAACCCTTAACTAATAATTATACTATTTAAACATTTTATAGTCACGATTCATATAGGATAAGAACAATCTCAACCACCCCATTTGAAACTAATTTACAGATGTATTTTGTAAATACACGAGTATTAGTTGTTATAAAATTTGTGAATTTAATATAACTTTCAGGCTATTTCAACATCGAAATCATGGAGGCTCGCCTTTCGTGGGACGGCTAACATTGGAATTCCCGTCCTCCCTGCTTATATGAACGGTACTGGCGTTCCAGAGAATGTTGACCCCAGATGTAAAACAGTAGGTGGTGAAATATCACAAATGTAATTTTATGTAACCGGGTTAGTGGTCTAGTGTCCAAAAATGAGGTAGGCTTAGTTGGGTTGATTAGGCTCATGGTTGCTCTACTGAGAAGTCCCTATCTCAAATCCCCCGGGGAGATAAGTCTCTATTGCTAGAACAGCAAGCCATCTAGGAGAGAAAATTCCAAAATCACACAACTGCTACGTCATAGTTTAACTTTGGGTGGACAAAGGCTATGGAAGAAAGAAAAACAAGCTGAAATCTGAGTCATTGTTGTTACGATCGCCGTCTGACAGACGCAGAACAGGCGAACGCCCCGGGTTCGTTTAATGTAGTTAGACAGAAATACCCATGGACAGAATGAGCACACCTGCATCTACGTGGGCTTGTTAAAACAGTCTAGGGGAACTAACACATAGGAAAGATGAAACTCAACTTAGGTTAAACTGAAAACCACTATTTAATTTGTGAACAAGTATGTACAATAGACACTAAGTCAACACCAAAGTATAATTCATTAAAAGCAATAAATAAACCACAAAAAATCACTTACAGATAACTCAAAGATACTGAAATATATCTAACAATTAGTTAGATATCAAAGTCACAGGTAAGGCCTTGGTGAAATAACACACCTCAATACAATATCATAAACACTGGAATGACCATACAACTTGGTGAAATAACACACCTAAACAATATCTCATAAACACTGGAGTGGCCAACAACTCCTATGGCGAGGAACTTAAATATATCACCACGAACTGAACATTTCAAATAAAACCTCACACACACACACACCGCACTGTGTCTCCCGGGGTCTAGGTCAAAGTCCTTCTAGACTTCTCGTGTCGAGTTTATATCTAGGATCAAAACCAAGGGAGGTTACTGTAATGTTGTAAGGCCATTGGTCGAGGATCGGTTAAGGATATTCAATGCCATAAGACCATTGACCGAGGATCTAATAAGGATTAAAATCCAAATCACATGACGTGACAGTGTTCAGTTGACCGAGGAGATCAGGTGAACTAACAACTCTCCCAAGGTCAATTACATAACTCAAGCAAACTAAATAATATACATAAAGAAAAGACATAAGTAGGTCACATCCCCTCCCTTTTAGAGAGGCAGATTTGTTTCACAAAAAAGGCAATAACTATATGGAACAAATCTGACATAAAAAATGTCTAATTAAAGTAACTAACAAAATACCTAAGAAAATACCTAAGTAGGTAACAGTGTTGACAAGAAATACTTAATTGCGTTGGAGGAAATACCGTCAAATATTTCAGTTAAGAAGATTGAAAAAGTTTTTTAAAAAATACATTTAAAACGTTTACAGTTCAACTCTTCTCAAGAAGAGGTTAGCGTCTATGTCCAGATCTCTGGTATAGTGTTTTAAATATTTTCGTTTCAGGTGAAGAAACCTTGGAACTGCGCCAGCCACTACAGGAACGATGAAGTGTTTGACAACTGGAATAATGTTAGTGAGGTCGCTTTCGTCGTCTACTCAAACTACACCGTCGTCAAAGAAATTTTGTTCGACGCCGTGGGTTCAACTTACATGAACTGGTTTGACAAGTCCAGGGTCAAGTTTTCATCCTGGGACAGCCTCAACACAGCCACCACTAATTTCTTTTCCATCAAAGGAGAGACTCGGTTTAATGAGGCGATATCAAGAACGTTTTTTATCAACAGAGAATACGCCGGTTGTCCAGCAGACGCGGGCTGGTTTCTGGCCATTGACATGGCCAACGGAAAATGCGGTTGGGAGAAATTTACCACTTTTCCGGTCTTCAAATACGCCGACAGCTACCACGAGGAGAATTGGACCAATGGGAAAGTTGCTTATGCTGACGTCATGGCCGTCTATGTTAACTGCTAGACCCAGTAATGTGTCTCCACTGATGTCAAGAAACTGACCAACCCTTTGGGCATTGGACGGCATGAGAACTATCGTTTATAACAATAAATGTTATTTCTCACTTCATGCCTTGTTGAATGTCATTATTTTCACAAAAATTTAATTTTGAAATATTTACCTTATATTGTTCTTAGAGTATTATAGATAGGGAAAATTCCGTGTCTTTTTTTTAATTGTCGAAAAGCATTGAAGAAAGAGTATACCTAAACTAACAAAAGTAATAAGTTGGGGAGGCTAATACGAACTTACAGCACAACATGTGGCGAGCGAAACTATCGCAAAAATGAAGGACATATATTTCAAGGCTAAGTTAACTTATCACTCGACCCACTTGCTCAATATGCGAAAACCACTTAAAAATCCAACACACTTTAACTATGTAAAAATAATGGGGTTTTATTAGTAAAGTCCTTTCATTAAGTCTTAATTGATCATCCACTATTAGCAATATAGATATTGTTCTTACTTCCCTCCCCCATTTAATTAAATGTTTGACAACGTGGCACATATAGAAATGTGCGCATCAACAAATACTGTCATAGCAAAGTTTTGTTTTTTTTGTTGTTCTGATTTTTATAGATATTTTTGAATATTCAGACATAACTTAAGTCTCTAGTTAAATGGTTGCAACACATGATCCAAGCAGGATCCAGGAAGACTAAACTAATTTTTACTTTCTCGTACATACGAAGTATAGAGAAAGTATTGTAATCGTGCAAAAAAACATCGAGATTTTTACAAATCTCGACGTTTTACACCTCACTGATACGGAAAAACATAATTTTGCAATCGTGTCCGTATGTCTGTGTGTGTGTGTCTGTGTGTCTGTGTGTAAACACGATAACTTGAGTACCGTTACAGCTAGGTTGATGAAATTTCATATATATGTATTTTATCAAAATCGTAGATCCTGATCAACTTTTGAGCGATTTCCGATAACCGGAAGTGGTACTTTTCCTACTTTTATTTTTTTAAAAGCCTATAACTTGAGTACTATTTCAGATAGATAAATGAAATTTCACATGTAAGTAAAAGATCTAATTCTCTACCTTTTGTCTACCTTGAGAAATTTCCGTTGAGGGGAATTATTAATTTACGCTATTTCCGATTTCTCAAAAAACGCATGTAAATTTATAAAGTACTCATAATATTGGTGTGCAATTCTTTTTATTTTACGAGATTCCATTCTATTATAAAAAGTTTAAGTAATTAAAAATGGATTACAAATATTGTTTATGTCCTGAGTTGCCATCCCTCGTATTTTTATATTAGAATATTCGAGAAAGTTTAGGGGAGATCACTCCCGGTTTATTTTAGTCTCAGATGCTATTACAAAATGTAAAAAAGTAATTAATTTGTTATCTGTAAGCTCGCGAACTACACATTGAGGAAAATAAGCCATAACTATACCCAATAACACAATGGTTTATCTAGTGGGGTAAAAAAATAATTCTAAAGCTACATATTCCATCAGGTAACATTACTTCCTAGTAGATAAGCTCCGTTCTATTTAGTTTTACTGCTTTTTGTCAGGCACTTGAGCGGTGTGAGTTCATTAGCGATGTGTCAACAAGTCTATCTATAAAAGTCCGGTGCTTAATGTTGTTTTTTGCTCCTGTTCAGAGGCTGGACGTTAGTGGAAACTTGGAGGTGCCAAAAGAGAAGACAAAATGGGGGAAGTGCAGTATTTTATATGCATCTTCTTGGCTCTCTTTGTGCATCCGTCTAAAGGTATGTATGTGTATGTCTAGTGAGACGTCTTTGCTGGTGACTACGTATGTGCTGGTGACTTTTCGCACGACAGAGCTTCAATTGGCGTCTATAAAACAGAATCCTTAGCTTAGTACCACTCAACCATACAGTTAGTAATATCGCCTTGCTGTTATTCCATACAATTTCTTTCTCTTGACCGATTATAACATTGTTTTTTTTTTTTAAATTTTATCACCGTTTTGTTGACTCGATCGTTGCTGTGCTTGGAGGTATCAGTACGTGTAGGATCGATTTGAGATGTTTTTTCACATACCATTTCAGCTCTAGAATTTACCTACAGCAAACAGACGGCAACAGATAAAAATAGCAACGTCTGCGGCCATATCCGCTGTGTCCAGACCGTCAATGACGACATTATGTCCATATGGAAGCTCCAGATCTTCGACATCGCTTTGAACGGGTCGGTGCTGGCTACGGTGACAGCAATAAGGAAAGCTGTCCAAACGTCAGGCGAGTTTGTCCTGGTGTCTCGTACATTCAACAAGCAGCAGGCAGCGCTGACCCTTGGGCTGACCAGGGACGCCGACTGCATACGAGGGTCGTTCATGTGTGAGGTGGGGTACATCGATCACGTGGGCAACAGGCAGACAGATGTCGCAATCGTTAGAGCCAGTTCTGCAGCGTCCTCTGGTGGCGGCTGTGGGCATGAGGTGTCCTCGGGTGTTGAGGTGTTACAGAGAAGTCTCTCGAGGATGTTGACAACAAAGCTGGAAGAAATCAACAACACAATGGGGCAATATGTCAAGGTTATTATTCATGTTTATCTGTGTTTATGTGATAAATATATTTAGAGATACGTATTTAATTTAAAATGAATTGGATAATACATAAGTAAATAAAATATATGCATATTCTTTTAAAAATTAAATTATTTTTAATGGGCACCGCGAAGGCGTTTTTTGCTGTACATTTTTAGCCCTTTCTTTTATTTATTTATAACTAGTCACCGACTGTCGTCCTTATTTTACTGCTATAATCATGTTAGTTTTCTTTTGTTTCTGTAAACTGTGTTGAACTCGATTACGATTTTGCTGATACAGCAATCTAAAGAACGTTTAACTATCTTTTCTATGTTTTTATTTTTCATGTTTCTTTTTGGAGAGGCTGATTTATGCCCCGTAGAGAATTATAAAAATTTCTGGAATTCAGATTAAGCTTGTGCGTCATTTAATCCGCACAGAGGGAATGTCTTGACTACAGATTAAATTATCTTCTGTCATTTAGTTGTACAAAAAGAGTGTCTTAACAACAGATTCCGTAGTCCCTGTCGTTATTTAGTCTGTACAGAACCAGTGTCTGAACTACAGATTAAATTGTGTCTAGTCATTTAGTCCGTACAGAACGAATGTCTGACCTACAGATTAAATTGTGTCCCGTCATTTAGTCCGTACAGAACCAGTGTCTGAACTACAGATTAAATTGTGTCTAGTCATTTAGTCCGTACAGAACGAGTGTCTGACCTACAGATTAAACTGTGTCCCGTCATTTAGTCCGTACAGAATGAATGTTTAAATCCCGACAAAAACATGAAGAGAGAGTGGAGGCTGGCGTTCCGTGGGACAGCTGGGGTAGGCAAGTCTGTGTACCTGGCCTACAAGGACGGTGTGGGGATACCCGCGGAGGTGGAGGAGGGATGTAAGCAGGTCGGTTTACTCTCATTGTTCGCTGTCATTGTTCGCCGTCATTGTTCGTTGACTTTGTTCGCTGCCACTATTAGCTGTTACTGTTTGCTGTCATTGTTTGATGTCATTATCTGTTTTCATTGTCTGTTGTCATTGTTTGATGGCCAGCTGTAGTTGTCACAAAGGTCTCCACGATCTTTCCTGTTTTACTATACTATTTGCATTGTTGCCTTTTCTACAGAGTCGTAAAACAACTTGAATCCTAAAGATGGGTGAAATATAGACAGTAAAAATACAGTCAATAATTCGTTTTTGACGTGACATTTATTGTATTTAAAATTTCTTGTCGAAAAGGTTATAAAATATTTTATAAAAATGTGTTTAGTTAGAAAACACTAAAAATGTGTATTTGATTGTATCTTTTCTATCGGTGTAGGTAGCAGCACCATTGCCTTGCACAAACCACTACAGAAACAACGCCGTCATGGACAACTGGTCCGGGATTTCCGAGGTCGCTTTCGCAGTTTATAAAAACAATGTCAAGGTCAAGCAAGTTATCTTTGATGGCAGAGCGACTAACTACATGAGCTGGTTTGATAGAGCAAGAATACAAGACTCTTCCTGGATAGATTTGAGGACCACTGGCGCCAATGTGTTCAGTATTGTTGGTATTGAAAACGGTTCCCATAGGAGGAGAATGTACATGAATCACGTACACAATGCATGTCATGGTGATTATGGCTGGTTCGCTGCCATCGACAACACACATGGCGGCTGTCCATGGGAAAATAATCTTGCGTTTCCGGTGTTTAAGTATTCGACCTTGGACCGTGTGACCAACTGGATCAGCAATGTCGACACGGCTGACTTCATCGCCATCTTTGTCCGTTACTTCAGCGTACCCTGATCAAGTTCATCGTCTAAAATATTAAAAATTAAATAACAAAAGTTCTTTTTGTAAAAACTCATCAAAGGTTTAGTAAATAAATATGGGACTGAAATTTTTATTTTCATTTGCGCTTTTGATCCAAAAATGTATTTTTATTAAAAAATCAGTAGAGAACGTAAATAAAAACTTATAGTAATTCATTAAGGGTTTTTCTTTGTATTGTACTAATATTTAGTATGTTATTTAACCAATAACTGCCTTACATACTGAATTACAGATTTTTTAAAAGCATTATTAAATTATATATTTAAACACAACCCGCAATAACTCGTTATATCCATCGGCAAGCTGTATTGACGCATTCAGTGCACGTTTATCACCTACCACAATTGTGGAGTAGAAAACGCCTTAGCGACCAACCATCTACAAGGGGCGTTGCGTGGCGATGACACGAGCGATCGGCTACACTACCGCAAGGGAACCGGGTGCGTCAGCTTGTTCGGTTTAGTCATATTATGCGGTGGCCCACTTTGTACTTATTGTAGGGTGGTCATTAAAACTAATTTACTTGCCCTTAAGTTAAAATCGGAGCCCGGGATTCTCCAGGTCACCTGTATGACAGGTCGACTGCGGGGGCTTCTGGTTAAACCCAGGCAACGATTATAGTAGCTCTCAGTATCCAAAGTGCATGGCTTGCTCCCTTTAAAATAATCGTAGATGCAATAAAACTCACGGAGTATCCGGTCCGGATACGGTCAGTATTATAAATTGTTGAAATAATTATATCAGATAGTAAGAGAAGAGGATAACAGAAAAGGAAATTTAAAAAAAAAAACGCACACCAATCCTCACGACACCATAAAGTACTAACCAAATTAAACACAAGACCAACACCCCGCTACCTTACAAATCACAACCCACACCTCACACTACTAATCACATGATTACATCCCAATCACTTATTTCACGCCGTTAACAATACACCACAGCCTATTCCACTACACCAAGATCCACATATAATCATTCAACAACACACACATCACACACACTGAGTAGATCAACCTTCACACCAACACACTTCACATATATAAATGTACACATGTCGATACACGCGTTAAACTGCTTGATGCAAATCTGTTAAAAACAATATAAACTCTTTCAAAATGGATTCTTATACAAACTCTTAAAATTGAAATTAATAGATTCGATTACAAAATCTTACTATTGCTGTAAACAGTTGTGCTACATCTACTTAGCTGTATCTAAGCAACTACCTTTAACAGTATAGAAAATGTTCTAACTAAATCATCTAGTGTCAGTGTACCCCCTTAGCTGGTCTCTAGGTCTTTCTTAATGAGGAAATTGTGGGGGAAACAATGTGCTGGTTTATTTCTATAAAATACAACACTGTACACTGCCAACATATAAGGCCTTGTCATGATCTACGCTCCTGTTTCACCTAAATAGAATTACACGTCACTAGAACAATGTATTGAGAGGGGGGGGGGAAACAAAAAAACAAATGAACAAACGACCAAACACATAGTTTACTTAATCACGAGCACATGTATTGTACAATGAGTGTCGAATTCCATATTACAAGAAGATTACTGGATTTTACATTATTATTGAAGTTCTCTACAGATAAGCACACTTTATCTAGCAAAACAATAAACAAGCATGCCAAATAACCATTTAATGCAGACTATAAAATGTGACGAGGATTAAGTATTATTCAACGCTGGGTGGTTCTATATTACAAACGCTGACAAACTGCTAGTACTGAAAGCATAGGATTTATTATGTCCTGCCGGTTGGGACAATATACTGCATATCTTTTAATGTTGTTCTACAATAGAATTCCGTGATATTTTTTATCATGGTCTTATCTGCCTTATGTGCATCCGCTGGATGAGTAGATTAATCCCATGCTACAGTCACTGTGGCTTATATAAATCCATATAAATCTCTTGCTTAAACCTCTATGGTTTAATATATGTAAGCCCTAACAGGGGGGTGGTGTCTAATCTAATCCCTAGGCTTTTAATAAACTATTGGGTCAATCCACATCTGCATAAACCCAGACTGGTTAAACTCAAATCTTAGTCTCATTTAGTCTAAAATAAAACAAAAGATGATCAACTGATTAAATTTATTGTCTTAATAAAACAATTTAACCAATAAAAGAGATTCAGATCGTAAACGTATTTATGAAATTTTATAGCCCCCCCCCCCCCTCCCCCCAACTGAAATAAATCTACTCAAGCTATTGATATTTTAGAAACCAGTAGTAGAATAACGTACCACAGTTTGATTTGTGGAGGTCACTCAAACAATGAAAGAAATCCAATAATAGGACATTATTCTTATCTGTGAAAAACAAATGAACAAACGACCAAGCACATAATTTACGTAATCACTAGCACATGTATTGTACAATGAGTGTCGAATTCCTTATTACAAGAAGATTACTAGATTTTATATTATTATTTAAGTTTTCTACAGATAGGCACACTTTATCTAGCAAAACAATGAACAAGTATGACAAATAACCATTAGTCCAGTACCACTTCCACTTCAAATGTTTAAATTTTTATAACAACCTGTGCATACTAGGTAATCCGTAATATTTGAAAATTTGTTCAACTAACGTAAACTGTACTCAAATTATTAGCTTTACAAAAAATACACAAGTCGAGGAAGTGGCGCTTACGTTTACCGGAAATCGCTCAAAATTTTAAAGAAAACTACAAATTTATAAAATACTTACATCTGAAATTTCATCAGCATAACTAAAAAGGTACTAAAGTTATTGTGTTTACATACAGACAGATATACAGACAAATTTGCTAAATTAAGTTTTTCCTACACAGGGAGGTGTAAAACGTAGAGATTTGTGAAAATCTCGATGTCTTTTTTTTTCGCACGATTAAAACACTTCCGGTTCACATTGTATAGACAAAAGTAAAAATAAAACAGTTCTTTTGACAACACGCCCTCTCCACGCCACTTCCCCCCACCCACCTCTCTCCGTACCTCCCTGCAGATGCGCCAATGCCATAATATCACACCACTAGATAAAAATTAATAATTGCTTTTTAAAAATAATACTTACGTATAAAAGTAAGCACTTACGTTAATAGGCACATGTCCAACCACAATGACAAGACTACAGCCACAATTTCTACAAACCACAAGACTACAAAAGACGCTCGCCATGAAGTTGTTGACGTTTCTAGCCGTGGTAGTCACGGACATTCTTCTCTGTCAAGGTAAACACAAACACAGCTCTAGTCTCTTGAGTTGGTTGTTGATGTTTTGTTGTCAACTAAATGTAATTTACATGTGTATACTTTGATACATATATATATATATATATATATATATATATATATATATATATATATATATTGGCTTGTTATACCATTGATTATATTCAAGTAAAATAGTTACTTTGTTGCTCATTATTGCGGCTCACTCTGATCGAACAAACTAGAATAGTTAAATAGTGCAGGCTATTTTTATGTATTGAATCTTATGTCGGCATATTTTGGATGAGATTTTGGTTGTTATATTTTGTTGTGGTTTTTTTTTTGTAGTTATTTGTTTGTTGTGTTTTATCATAACTGAATCGTGGGTAACATTTCCCCCACCCCTCAATCACAAATAGACACTCTGGTCTCACGGTGTCTATTATTAACGTTGTGTAGATATTAGTTTGCTCAGGTCACGTAAACCTCCCTGTACCAACGAGGATGCATGGATGTGCAAGAATAAAACCATCACAACCACTCTTTCTCTCTTGGTACTCCCCTTACATATATATATATATATATATATATATATATATATATATATATATATATTATTTTATTAAGCGTTAATTGATATACATCGGTCAAAACGTAATTAAGAAACAAAATAACTTCTGATCAGACACCATGTACATATATTTTAATGCCTCTCATTTTTCAACTACATGGTGTTTAGTATCAAGTGTTTCTTTTAGACTTTTTTCTTCGGGGATCTTATTTTAAATGCCATTCACCCTAAGCATACAATCAAATTCTTGTGTGTTTCCTCCTTGTCATCCACATTTATTTCATTCTGCATATATACTTAAGTCTAAGATAAATCTTATATTGTTGAAAAATGGAAATGTTTTATCGGTAAAAACTATATATTCAAAAGTCTTAAGAGTATTTTGGGTTATTAAACTAGTCTCGAGAGATATTTTGTTTGTGGAACAACCTTTCTCTCAGTGTTATTATATTTTGATTAAGATTTTTTTTTAAAGATGCTCAGACACATTTTACTATTAATGTGTGCCTAAGAGAGACCTTAATTATATACCCTGCTATAAATTTACATAAATGTAGCACACAGAACGTCGTTTAATGTATCCCAGTCAACCCTAAATACTTGATGTTACATGCTAACCACCCAACCTTGAACTAAACTACTGGATGTTATATACCAACCACTCAGCCAACCCTTATTTAAACTACTTGATGTTACATACCAACCACACAACCAACACTGATCTAAACTACTGGATAATACATTCTAACCGCTCAATCCTGACGTAAACTACTATAAAGAAACAGCATGTTTCGCTATAATATGTATTGAATATTTGAATAGCTGAGTATTATAATATATTAAAGAATATCATTACAGGAAAAGTGGACAACGCATGTGGATGTGAAAACGACCTGCTCCTGTGTGTTAAAGTATGTTCTAGCCATTTTTAACTATGTTAATGGATGTTACACACAACCCACCAATCCTATTTTTGTCTCAGCTTTTTTGCTGGCCGTACAAATAAAATAAATGTAATTGATAAAGTAACGAAGTAATATATACATTTTAATATTTATAATGAGATTCCAAGGCTACTAACATCAGTTAAGTGTCTTTGTAAAGATATTTTTTTAGACACAGCTAGACACCCAGTCAAAATTTTACAACTGTAAACTACATCATCTATAGTAGTGTATAACATGATGTAACTTTGACAGCTCAAATCGTTATTATAGCTTTTTAAAATCTTTAAATGCAATTATCAAATTAAAGTATATTAGTACAAGTTAGAAGCTGAAAGAAAACTCAGCCCATTCCATGACTGATACAGTAGCATGATATTTTATCTAACCAATACATGTTAAAGAGTGGCGTAATAGTTTGCAAAATTTGACATTTAAGTGAACACGTAACCCCTTAACAAGTAATTTTACTATTTAAACATTTTACAGACCTGATTCATATAGGATAAAACAACCTGAACAACCCCACTGAAACTAATTTTCAGATGTATTTTGTAAATACACGAGTATTAGTTTGTTTTAAAATTTGTAAATTGAATGTAACTTTCAGGCGATTTCAAAATCGAAATCATGGAGGCTCGCCTTTCGTGGGACGGCTAACATTGGAATTCCCGTCCTCCCTGCTTATATGAACGGTACTGGCGTTCCAGAGAATGTTGACCCCAGATGTAAAATGGTAGGTGGTGAAATATCACAAATGTAATTATATGTAACCGGGTTAGTGGTCTAGTGTCCGAAAATGGGGTAGGCGTTGTTGGGTTGATTAGGCTCATCGTTGCTCTACCGAGAAGTACCTAAATCAAACCCCCGGGCAGATGAATTTCTATAGCTAGGATAGCAAGCCATCTAGGAGAGAAAATTCCAAAATCACACAACTGCTACGTCATAGTTTAACTTTCGCTGGGCAAAGGCTATGGAAGAAAATCCAGAAAGAAAAACAAGCTGAAATCTGATTCAGTGTCGACAAGAAATACTTAATTGTGTTGAGAGAAATACCGTCAATCATTTCAGTTAAGAAGATTGAAAAAGTTAAAAAAATATACATTTAAAACGTCTACAGTTCAACTCTTCCTCAAGAAGAGGTTAGCGTCTATGTCCAGATCTCTGGTATAGTGTTTTAAATATTTTCTTTTCAGGTGAAGAAACCTTGGAACTGCGCCAGCCACTACAGGAACAATGAAGTGTTTGACAACTGGAATAATGTTAGTGAGGTCGCTTTCGTCGTCTACTCAAACTACACCGTCGTCAAAGAAATTTTGTTCGACGCCGTGGGTTCGACTTACATGAACTGGTTCGACAAGTCCAGGGTCAAGTTTTCATCCTGGGACAGCCTCAACACAGCCAACACTAATTTCTTTTCCATCCCAGGCCACATTCTATATGATACTCCGGTATCGAGATCATTTTTTATCAACGGGATCTACGGCGGTTGCAGCTTAGACGTGGGCTGGTTTGTGGCCCTAGACATGGCCAAAGGATATTGTGACTGGGAGAAGGTTCCGACATTTCCGGTCTTCAAATACGCCGACAGCTACCACGAGGAGAATTGGACCAATGGGAAAGTTGCTAATGCTGACGTCATCGCCGTCTATGTCAACTGCTAGACCCAGTAATGTGTCTCCATTGATGTGAAGAAGCTGACCAACCCTTTGGACACTGGACGGCATGAGAACTATCGTTTATAACAATAAATGTTATTTCTCACTTTATACCTTGTTGATTGTCATTGTTTTAACAAAAATTTAATGTTGAAATATTTACCTGTAAACATTCCGTGTCCTCTTTATAATTTCCAAACAGCATTGAAGAAAGAGTGTACTTAAACTAACAAAACAAACTAAGTAGTATGGGGGGAGGGCGAATAAAAACATACAGCAAAACTTGTAGACAGCGAAACACTTGCTTGATTGGAGTTTATATACTGCAAATATTCCTTAACTTATCACTCACCCCGCTTGCTCAATAATCGAAAACCACTTTAAAAATCCAACATACCTTAAATTAAAATTATATACACATGGGGTTAAATTCCTTTATTAATTTTTAATTTATCATCCACTATTGGAAATCTAGAAATTCCTCTAACATCAAGATTTAACAAATATTTTTAGTCGCAGATGCTATTACAAAATGTGAAAAAAATAATTAATTTGTTCTTTAAGAGCACAAGCTATACATTTAGTAATAGAATCCATAAGTCCACCCAATCACTCAATGGTTTTTCTAGTGAGGTAAAAAAATACTTTTAGAGCCGCACATTCTATCAGGAAACATTACTTCCTAGTGTAAGTACTGCTAGGGGGGATAACAATTCTACTACCCTTCTAGGCTTATCTAACTAATCTGTCCGGGTCAGTGCATCCGTGGTGAAACCCACGGTGGTTAAATCTTATCCTTAACCTTAATCTAAATAGAAAACTAAAACTAAAACAAAAACAAAAACTTTAACAATATAATAAAATTTATTTAACAAAAATATGGAGCCAAAACTTATATAAAAAACTAGACAAAACAAAACACTCAAGACGTACAAAACAAAAACAGAACTCAACGGAACAAAACACCCAATTTCGGATCACCGTCCAGGCTTACAAGAATTTGATGAACTAAGTTAAACGGTTTGATGGCGTTTCCCTGACTTTGATACCTCGGATGGTCCAGGCAGTAGCGTAGCGAGGGGGGGGGGGGGGCGGGGGGGGGGGACATATGTCCCCGGGCGCCGACCTTAGGGGTTGAGGGGGGTGCAAATCAAACGTTTGAGGGAGGGTGCAAATGGAAATCTCAAGGGGGGGGTGTAGATCGAAAGTTTGAGGGGGGGGGGTGCAAATGGAAATCTCAAGGGGGGGGGGGGGTGCTAATCGAAAGTTTGGGGGGGGTGCAAATCAAAATCTTGAGGGGGGTGGGTGCAAATCGAAAAGTTTGTCCCCGGGCGCCAGGAAGGGTCGCTACGCCTCAGGGTCCAGGATCAGACTTTCTCACCTCATCCACTCGACATACCAAAGTGGATCAAACATCACGCCGGAAACTGACTTTTACACACCTCGCAAAATCCACGCAAACAAATAGTTCCTAATTCAACAACACGCTACGAAACATTCGACAGAATTATACAAAAAAGACACTTAATATAAACAGTGACAACAATCTAAACAAAATATACACAAACTAGCCGTAGACAGGGACATAAACAGCGGCGCTATGATACGGGACTACACAACTAAAAAGTACGAACAGTTTACAACATGAAACGAAATGATACATTCGCCTTTTAAGTTCCATATAAATAATAATTACAACGCTCCAGCCACTCACACTAGTCGATATGTTCCCCCCAATTTAGTTTTACTAATTTTTATCAGCCACTTCAGCGGTGTGAGATCATCAGTGATGTGTCAACAAGTCGATCTCTAAAAGTCAGTTAGCGATGTGTCAATAAGTCTATCTACTAAAGTCAGTTAGCGATGTGTCAACAAGTCTATCTATTAAAGTCAGTTAGCGATGTGTCAACAAGTCTATTAAAGTCAGTTAGCGATGTGTCAACAAGTCTATCTATTAAAGTCAGTTAGCGATGTGTCAACAAGTCTATCTATTAAAGTCAGTTAGCGATGTGTCAACAAGTCTATCTACTAAAGTCAGTTAGCGATGTGTCAACAAGTCTATCTATTAAAGTCAGTTAGTGATGTGTCAACAAGTCTATCTATTAAAGTCAGTTAGCGATGTGTCAACAAGTCTATCTATTAAAGTCAGTTAGCGATGTGTCAACAAGTCTATCTATAAAAGTCAGTTAGCGATGTGTCAACAAGTCTATCTATTAAAGTCAGTTAGCGATGTGTCAACAAGTCTATCTACTAAAGTCAGTTAGCGATGTGTCAACAAGTCTATCTACTAAAGTCAGTTAGCGATGTGTCAACAATTCTATCTATTAAAGTCAGTTAGCGATGTGTCAACAAGTCTATCTATTAAAGTCAGTTAGTGATGTGTCAACAAGTCTATCTATTAAAGTCAGTTAGCGATGTGTCAACAAGTCTATCTATTAAAGTCAGTTAGCGATGTGTCAACAAGTCTATCTATTAAAGTCAGTTAGTGATGTGTCAACAAGTCTATCTATTAAAGTCAGTTAGCGATGTGTCAACAAGTCTATCTATTAAAGTCAGTTAGCGATGTGTCAACAAGTCTATCTATAAAAGTCAGTTAGCGATGTGTCAACAAGTCTATCTATTAAAGTCAGTTAGCGATGTGTCAACAAGTCTATCTACTAAAGTCAGTTAGCGATGTGTCAACAAGTCTATCTACTAAAGTCAGTTAGCGATGTGTCAACAATTCTATCTATTAAAGTCAGTTAGCGATGTGTCAACAAGTCTATCTATTAAAGTCAGTTAGCGATGTGTCAACAAGTCTATCTATTAAAGTCAGTTAGCGATGTGTCAACAAGTCTATCTACTAAAGTCAGTTAGCGATGTGTCAACAAGTCTATCTATTAAAGTCAGTTAGCGATGTGTCAACAAGTCTATCTATTAAAGTCAGTTAGCGATGTGTCAACAAGTCTATCTACTAAAGTCAGTTAGCGATGTGTCAACAAGTCTATCTATTAAAGTCAGTTAGCGATGTGTCAACAAGTCTATCTATAAAAGTCAGTTAGCGATGTGTCAACAAGTCTATCTATTAAAGTCAGTTAGCGATGTGTCAACAAGTCTATCTACTAAAGTCAGTTAGCGATGTGTCAACAAGTCTATCTACTAAAGTCAGTTAGCGATGTGTCAACAATTCTATCTATTAAAGTCAGTTAGCGATGTGTCAACAAGTCTATCTATTAAAGTCAGTTAGCGATGTGTCAACAAGTCTATCTATTAAAGTCAGTTAGCGATGTGTCAACAAGTCTATCTACTAAAGTCAGTTAGCGATGTGTCAACAAGTCTATCTATTAAAGTCAGTTAGCGATGTGTCAACAAGTCTATCTATTAAAGTCAGTTAGCGATGTGTCAACAAGTCTATCTACTAAAGTCAGTTAGCGATGTGTCAACAAGTCTATCTATTAAAGTCAGTTAGCGATGTGTCAACTAACGGCAGTTGTCCTTGGGAACAAAATCTGGCGCTTCCTGTGTTCAAGTATTCGACCTTGTCCAACTGGAACAGCAATGTCGACACGGCTGACTTCGTCGCCATCTTTGTCCGTTACTTCAGCGTACCCTGATCAAATTCAGCGTTTAAAATCTTTTAAAATGAATAACAAAAGTTGTTTTTTGTAAAAACTCATCAAAGTTTAGTTAATAAATATAGGACTGAAAAGTAAACTTTATTTTATTTTCATTTGTGCTTTTGATCCAAAAATGTATTTTTATTATTTTTAAAATCAGGGCGACAGCGGACGCTTTTGGTTCGATCTAGGCGACAATAATTATAGTAGCCATTAGTATCCAAAGTACATGGCTGGCTCTCTTTAAAATAATCGTAGTTGCAATCGTGCTCACGGAGTATGCCGGTGCGCAACATTGCGCTCTACATGGACCCGGATGACGTGTCTGATTCATTTTTATATACGATTATAGTAGCCCAGTGTATCCATTGTGTATCGCACTCTTCGAAACGAAGTAGTCTCCATAGTACTCACAGAGGAATACGGGACGCCTGTTAATACGTCCGGAGCTGTTTTACTGTTGAATCAAGTAGTACCTCTGGCCCATATGCACGACGCCCATTAGACGGATATCTGGTGCTAAGATAGCCGAACTGGGATTCTGGATGCCAGATATATTTCAATACCAATTTTTAACAATGTCTCTACTTTAAGCATTCGAATGCTGTTTTTACAAGCTTTTACTTGGTTCACAATGTATTTATGTGAGTTTTTGGCAAATCTTGTAGCACATTTTTTTCTCTAATGCAGCAATTTCGTTCACATTTTATACATATATCCATATTCAAGAGCGACGCATAAATATCTATTTTTAAATTTAATGAAATGTTAAATTAATCACTAAAAATTAATTAAACGTTTGCAAAACCAAGGGCACATAACAATATTAGATGCTATCGACCACTCAATAGATCGCTATATTCAATAACAGAAGGGGAGATAACAAGCTAGACGCTATCACCACAGAGGCGTACCCACTCCTCCCGGGGCCTCCCCCCCCCCCCCATATAAAATAGCCCCGTCAAAAGGGTTCCCGTCATATTGACTCGCGACATACAAGCTCCCAACATTTAGGCACTCGACAAATGGACTCCCGACATATTGGCTCCCGACAGATAGGCTCAGGACATATTGGCTCCTGACAAATGGGCTCACGACATATTGGCTACCCACAAATGAGACCGTTTTGCCTGGGGACTATTTGTCGGGAGTCGTAATGACCGTGGCCGCTTTGTGGAGAAACTAAATGGCGGGAGCCTATTTGTCGACAAAAACAAATTAACTAATGGCAAACACAGATAATTTACTTGATCACTAGCACATGTTTGTCATTGTACAATGGGTGTCGAATTACAAGGTGGATTAATGGATTTTATATTGTTATTTAAATTCTCTACAGATGAACACACTTTATCTAGCAAAACAATGAATAAGCATAGCCATTTGATGCAGACTATAGAATGTTACGAGGATTATGTTATATTCAACGCTGAATGGTTCAATATTAAAAACCCTGGCAATCTG